CATATAGATGTTAGTGATTAATAGTGACGTGTAATAAATAAACATGCAAATTAAAAAGATTGGAGAAACCAAAGTTAAACAATACGACAAGTTACATATAGTGGAAATGCTATAAGGTAATTCAGAAATGTGCCTTCGTAAAGCTAAGCAGAGTATTATAAAACATAAAAAGCAATCGCTGGAAACAAAGAAAAGAGTTCCAATTGATGTTGAAAGAAACGTATGTTTCATTAAATATGTGTCATTCATATAATATCAATCTCCTTTTTAGACCATTTTCTCTAAAACTCCGTTGTTCATCGCATGTTTGATCTATGTTATTCTCAGTATACTACTTTAGAAACATATTACTGTTGCTTCAAATATTTTCTTAATTTAGGACGAGATTGTCCAGTAATTGCAATATAGAAGGAGTGATATTATGTATGAGTTCAGTGGGTTTTTTTTTCTATTCAAAAACCTGTATCCACTAAATATATCTGCGCGTATTTATATATATATAGGAGAGTTCTAGCAAACATTTTTGGTTGTAATGTGGATATTTTTAAAAAAAAATATTATGCTTTAATTTCCATAATTTTACTACACGCGTTTCTGGTCTCGGAACCGTCATCAGGTAAAGGGTGGGGATTTCTAAATATTAATTTTTTCATCTCAAGTTCTCCACTACCTTAACTGGGCATTCAATTCACACTCTTTGGGTCCTTTGTGAATCAATAGGAGATAACTGATAACTGACATCCATTAGACATGGCACGGGTAACTAGAACATTCTACCCCAGTGCGCGAAATAAAGGGTTCAGTTCGACATTTCAACCACCTGAAGAAGGCCACAGCTTACAACAGCCGAAACGTTGTAATAAATATAGCGACAAAGATGAGTACAATAGTCCGAATAATGTAAATTGTGTACCTAATACCTCATTTCCGAAATATATATATTACAAATGCTACCGATGAGAAATATTAATCAGTTATAATTGATGTACTCAGTAGTTGCCAAAGTTTTTAATCACATTGCATTTGTGTATATTCGGTATGTCGTTAATGAAACAGGTACTATTAAATGAACGCCTAACATTTACAGATAGGTGGATTGGAAGGGATGGACAATTTCCCTGTTCACCTCGTTCACTAGATATCACACCTCTGGTTTTCTTTCTATGAGGTTATGTTAAATCTATCGTGTCTCAAACAAAGATACACGGGACATCATTGATCAAATGACCTGCAAAAACCTGCAAACCCTACAAAAGATCACTGATGCCATTGCCACGATTGATGAGCCCATGCCACAGCGAATAATTTGAGTACGTTTTCATTGTGCTTCATGCAACTAATGGTACCCAATAGAAAGATATTAAATTAAAGAAAAAGTTCAATATCTACTTTTCATTTTGTCATAATTTACACATATTTGTCTGTTCATTTGCTTTACTAATATTTTTTAAACTGTAAGGAGACTTTGTGGACCCTCTGTGTACAGGTGGGGTATGTTTGTATGCGTGTCTGCTGTGTGCATAAATACAACGACTTTTATCAACTGATAGACATTTCAAGGCAAATGTAAGGATTTTTATTTGTTTCAATATACGAGAACTTGTCAAAAAGTATCAGTACATTTGCTATGGTAACGGAGATGAATTAGGCAGAATCAAACCGCTTGGCACAAATTGACCTTGAAGTATGTCGCGCATCCACAGTAAACTATAACGTTCAGGCGCACTTCTGTAGTTTATAGCAGAACTTGCACTTAAGTGTGCAGTGTTTTATAATCGCACCACATCACAGACCTTCCATCTGTCACCATGGCGTACGCTTCGGTTTTTGACCAGGCAGTTAAAAAAATATATATTGTAATTATTTTGATGGCAACTCATAGTCAGCGTGGCTTGGAAAGATGAAAAACTATTTTACATATCGAACAAGCATATCTCCATCGACTTCATGTGTAATATACAATATAAACCCTTGGGTTCTTATACCACATCTAATCTTCTCTTAGAAAATGGGCACTTCAGCGTTGTTAAACGATTAGAAAACATGACTTACTAGAGCAAATATGGCTGAATAGTGAGTTCGATCGTCACTGGGGGCTCCATACATTCGGTTTTGTCACACATCTAATCTACGTTCAGAAAATCTTTTGAGCACTACAACGTTGTGTAATGGTTAGCAAGCTTGTCTTGCTAGATCAATTACGACTGATATGTGAATTCGATTCTCACGTGTTGCTTCATACATTTGGCCTTGTGACATATCTAAGTTGCCCTTAGAAAATAATCATCCATAACTAAGTAAATAAATACAATAGAATCCAGGCTATAGCATGCATCTTGACACTTTTGAAACAAAGTATAGCTATTCATCTTAGTTCAAACGCAGTGCTAAATGGCAAAACATTCTCTCGGAATATTCAGTGATATAAATAGGTGAGGCAAGAAATATCAGTGGGTCATTTGAACATATGCCGTCTGATAATTTGACTATATCAGGACAGTTGGTGCAAAAAAAAATGAAGGTGATATAGTAGCGTTTTGACATATGAAGCTGTATTTGCCTGATTGCCCCATTGGTTAGACAAGGAACTTCTGCTAGCGACCTATAGATTGCGTTACTAAAGTTGGTATACAAGAAAAAGCTGACTTTCTTTAACAATGTTTTGTTAGAGACAAGTCTTTTCTCGCTTACACAGCGGGGCACTAGTTTGTCCATATTCAACCGGCTGCCGCATTGACTACAACATTCGTTCCCAAACATTGTTGCGCGCCTTACAGGTGCTGTGGAATAGGATAGCAGGTGAGGCGCAATGATTGAAAGATAATTAAATATTTAGAAGCAATTTAAAAAAAAATATTCCAGAAATAAATATGATTTAAAAATTTAAAATGTTTTTTTTTATAGATTACTTGTAATTGCATGCACGTGTCCCAGTATAAATAGTTATAAATAATCATTGACCGAATTCATCATTCTGATAGGTATCCATTATATCAAGTATTAACAATATATTAACTAGGCCACCCATATTAGAGGAGACAGTTATTAATGATATTGTTTTGATTTCGAATCCACGGTTATCTCCCTTTAACCCCCTCCCCCCTCTCACTCTCTCTCTCACTGTTGCTGTATTTTTTATTTTTAAATCTACTTTTTATCGCATCAAATTTGGTGAAGCGCGGGCAAATTTTCTTTCAGAAAATGCGCCCCCCCAACCAAAAAAGTTTGGCAACCACTGCTACAAGAACATACAAATGCCCTTAGATGACTGTCAAAAGAACAATAAATTCTTCTACAATGTGAGACTCTCAATGTCGTAAATAAGCCATCAAGCACAAATATTTACGTGTAAAATATCTCAATGTGTTCAATTTGATTCTTGCACCGTGTCGATTCAGGACGTGGACAATCATGGCTACTCAACAACGGCTGAGGCTAAATCTACATTTTTTTCGGTGTATTGCAGATGCAATTATTTATACCTTTTACATATGCTTTTACAGAAAATGCCAATTTATGCTGACGTCCAATATAAAGAAAAAATCAATGTGTTATCGGGTTCCTGGTGATAACATCTGATTATACGTGGCAAAAAGCAGACAAGCGAGAAGATTTTTCTCGGATACAATTTTGAAAAAAAAAAAGATATTAATTGAAAGTTTTATACTCGCCGACCACGCAAATATCTGCTTGAGAAGTATGGACAACTCCATAACCATTTAAAAGTCGGAGGTTACATTAACGTTTGGAAAATCAACCAAAACGAATCGAGAAATCGTACTCCGAATTTATAAGGTATCGTCATTTTGTAGACTTCTTTTCCTCCTCTGAATAGGCACTCAAATAATCTATGGATTTGCAACTGCCTTGTGACAAATTGGGGAAGAATGGCGAACGACAGGAAAAGAGAAACGTGTTCGTAAAAACGCACGAGAATAGGTGGGATACACACCAAGGGCTTGAGGCTATATAACGTTGTAACTCTGGTTCTTTTACGGTCAACAAAGTCAACCTGTTTTTTATCTAGATGGATGACCGCTTCGAATTACTAGGTGCTTTCAGCTTTTATGTCCGGGTGCCATGGTTTTCGGCCGCATCACGTTGAAACACTGGTTCTCGTACAATTAGCAAAATTAATCGTCGTTGAACTTGATCAGTATTTAGATGGGTTACCATTGGGGAACACGAGGTGCTTTCAGCTTGTATGCGGGTCGTGTAATAGTCTTAGAGCCATATAGCGTTCAAACGTTCCATTACGATCAGCAAAGTTAAACAATGTCCTGATTAGTCGGGATCTAAATAGGTGACCAATTGGGAATACCAGTTTATATAACCTTCGATACACTGCTTTTGTAATTGGCTTAAGGTTATATAGATGGGTTACCATTGGGGAACACGAGGTACTTTCAGCTTGTAGGCGGGTCGTGTCATAGTCTTAGAGCCATATAGCGTTCAAACGTTCCCATTACGATCAGCAAAGTTAAGCAATGTCCTGATTTGTCGGGATCTAAATAGGTGACCAATTGGGAATACCAGGTTATGTAAGCTTCGATACACGGCTGGTGTAATTGGCTTAAGGTTATATAACGTTGAATATCGTTTCCCGGACAATCATTGAAGTAACTTTCGGGTCAGTAACTCGATGGGTGACTGCTTGGGAATAACAGGTACTGATAGCTTGGATGTGCGGGTGGTTTAATTTCCCTACAGTCTCGTAGAGTTAAAAAAACGTCCATATATGATCACCGAAGTGAAGCAACGTCGAATATGGCCAGTACGTAAATGGATAACAGCAGGAGCATACCAGATGCGGTAATCTTGAATGAGTGGCTGGTGTGATGGTCTTTACGGCTATATCGAATTGAAAACTGGTTCCCAGAAAATCACCGATGTTTATGCAATGGCAAATTTTGTCAGTATCTAGATTGTTGACTTCTCGATAAGACCTCCCCCACTGGAAGCTTAGATGTGCGAGTAGAGTAATGTGTTTACGGACTTATAGCATTGAAAAACCGGTTCTCAGAAGGTCACCGAAGTTAAGCAACGTTGAGCCTGTTTAGTACATAGATGGGTGACTGCTTAGGACTACCAGGAGCTGCAAGTCTGGTGTAATAGGGTTACGGTAAATATGATGATTTTCGAAACGTATCTTAGATATGGTTCAAGGACGAATGCATGGAGGAACCAGCGAAAATGGAATGCACTATTCAGTCGTAACCTGATATAGCAAGACAAACTTTCTATTCATTACACCCAAAATGATTTTCTAAAGATAGCTTAGAGGTGACACAATTCTAAAAGTACGGGGCGCCCAGTGAGGATCGAACTCACTACTCTGTCATAATTGTTCTAGCGAGATATGCCATTGTCTCACGTCGAGTTGCCCAAGGACTGCGTATTTATGGCGATGTTCTAAGTGTAGCTTAGATGTGGAACATGGCCAAAAGTATGGGGAACCCTCTGAGGATCGTACTCAGTACTCAGTCGTAATTGTTCTGTCGAGAGAGCCTTGCTAACCATTACACCACATCGATATGCCAAAGGCCTGCATAGCTATGGTGATTTTCGAAACAAAAGGCCGAATGTACGGGGCACCCAGTGAGGATCGAAGTCACTACTCTCTCATAATTGTTCTATCGAGATATGCCTGCTAACAATTGTATCACGTCGAGTACCCGAAATGATTTTCTAAGCGTAGCTTAAATATGGCACAATACCGAAGATGCCGAACACTCAATGAGAATCGAACTTACGACACCGTTGCAGTTGATCTAACGAAACAATTTTGCTAGTCACTACACCAAGTCCAAGATCCCCAGTTTTACGAAATATGGAAACATCTATTATTGAACGATCCGCAAAGTTCATCATCATCATCTTGCGGCCACAGCCGAGATTGAACTCATCAATACTTTGATTGGTGTAGTTCATAATCTTGTCAAATAGCTGAATTCTTGATGCTTCGCTAGGGCTATCAAGCGTGTTTTTTATCGTGACACCATCACTAAATGGATTGCCAACCAAGGCTCAGAGAGACTCCATTCACCCTCCTCTAAGAGCAGGTTTGAATTCAGAGTTTTCCTTCTCCTAGACGAGTTGCCATTTAAGTCTGTCCTGCTATTTACCCATAGCTTGAAGGAGAAGAAAGAGGATTCACACCTTTCCCAAGGGTGTTAGCACGTAAGTGAATGTAATGGATTCGACTGGAATTCGAACTCGGCTTTCCGATTCCTCAATCCAAGCCGCTATCCATTACTCCACCGTGCCTACTCACAAAGTTAAGCAGTGTCCAGCCTTCCCAGCACTTAGATGGTGTGCGCTTAGGAATACCAGGTGCTAAAATCTTTGATGTACTGATAGTGTATTGGGCGTATCATCATAGAGAATTGAACCATTGATTCCCATACGATCATTAAATTATCATACGAAATTAAGCAACATCCAGTCTGGTCAGTACGTAGAAGAGTGACATTTTGATAATACTAGATATTGAAAGCTTGGATGAGCCGATGGTGTAATCGACTTACGGCAATATGGTGTTAAAATAAACGTTCCATTTGAACGCCGAAAGAAGCGTTGATACTTGTCAGTACCTAGATTACCACTTGGATATACCATCTGCCGTAAGCTTGGATGAGTGAATAATGGGCTTATGGCCATATGGAGTTGAAACATTGGTTCCCGTACTCTCGCCGAAGGCTGCTTAGTACCTAGATGGGTACTCGATTGGGAACACCAGGATCTATAAGCTTGAATGAAAGTGTGGTGTAATAGACAATAGATGGGTATTTTTAATCTGAGAGCCGGGAAACAATTCTATTTGGATTCGTCATATTCACTTAAATGACACTGCCATTTTTTAAAAAAAAACTCTGCAATTTTCCTCAGTGCATTAAGAAGAGCAGTTCTGAAAATTTATTTTATATATAGCTGCTCCAGAATCATTATTGGTGTGGGTAATTTTGGTTTAGATCATATCCATAATTGTCGTGGATGTGGTTGTAATTATTTTGATAAAGTTCATCGTACTGATTTATATAACATATTCGCCCAGAATTGATACTACGCTACAACGCCTGTCCAATAAAAAAATGTCATTAAAATATTCTACTTTATATACAAGTTCCGCTTTTTAAAATACTTCTATAATTTGGATTCGGAAAACTGTGACTTAAAAATATCCTGTTCTCGTTTAACTTCTGAAATTAAGGAGCGGAAATCTTATCATTAATAAATGGGTAAACGCTTTGAAAAAACACTTACTATAAGTGGCCTCCAATATCTGTCCCCTCGGAAGGGTTACCGTCTGTTTATGAAGCTTAACTCATTACGGAAAACCTGTCTTCTATTATGAATGAATAACGATATATGTCTGTTTGAAGTATACGAACGTTAGCATATTGAAAGCTCATTACATAAATCAAATTCGACGTAATTAAAATATTCAGGAATAAAAACTGTATTCCCTCGGCTAAATGCTAATTTGAGATTCTTGCATTAAATATTCAAAAACCTTATAAGAGTCGTCTACTTTTCAATTTTAAATGAATATCACAGATAAGTTTTGTCTTAATATTTTTTGTTAACTTCTTTCCACATAAAATGATGCGTGTTTTCAAAGTTCGTGAAAATGCAACCATTTTTAATCAAAATCAGCCATTTATAACATGTTATTCTTTTGAAATACAAAACATTTAATCATAAGATATTTGTTCTAATATAACGTATACAGTTGAGAAATTTATTTATTAAATTAATATCTGGATATGTTGATAATGTCATTTAGGTATCGTTTACAAACTTTCGCTAAACACAATACTCAAGAGCCACTCATTCTAGAGTGCTAGATATGAAAGTGACGACAGAAGGAATTGATTGATTATGGGGATAAGTAGGATGCAGAATGCGCAGGCTATCCCAGGGTAATTAGTTATCAGTCAGAAGACCTGTGGGCGTGGAATTCTGGCAGTGACAGATTACCTCTGTCTAAGTTTTGGGTATAAGATCAAGAAATATGAAGAATCAACAAACATTCAGAATCTAGATTGCTCAGGGAAACAAAACCACACGTTGCGCAATGTTAAGCTAGCGGGTGGGCATGCATTCTCTCGAAGATCATATTCCTCCTACACCTTAGAATTGGTGTGTATCGACGGGGTTACCATTGTTGTTGTGAACGTCGAACGACAAACATCGAGGTCATCATTATTGTAGTGATAGAGTTACCAATATTTAACTTTGGCTAGGAAAGGTGGGATTAAGGACAATGTGTGGATGCAATGCAATTTATATTTGACGCAAATAGCACATAGTATAAAATACAAAACTGAACAGAATGATTTCAATGCATAACAAATGAATTTATTAATATTTGATATACATGCATGCGAACTGAAAAGGCAGGACAGAGTCGTGTCCCTTGATTAGGTAATAATTGTACCTGAGTTCATATTAAAAGGAAGTAATATTAAACTGTAATTTAGAAGAATAAAGTTTGGAATTGTGAGTTGTAAAGTTGGTAAAACTTCAGAAGATATTTCAGAGTTTGTACTTGCGTGAATGTTGGTAATGGTCTTTAACGTCTGACCGCAATGGCTAGACGGGAGTTCTTGAAGGTTACATCTTGGCTCTTGGTAGCAAGGAATGAGAAGAAACTACTACAGGGAGCTTACACGTCTTCTGCTTTAATAATTTTGTTGTTCCACGTGACAGGTTCAAATGGAGAACCTGGGAAAACAGATTGGTCGCGTTCAGGCGGTTTGATTGGTCGGAACTAACCAATCAGCAAGCTAGATTTAAGGTGATTGACCAATGAATACTTGTTATATATTTGTAAGATTGTGATGGTGAAAATTATAAGAGGAATAGTGCATTTCCGAGCAGGGGTTAACTAGCTTGTGGTGGAAGAGTCCACAGATGCTACCACGTCTGCCCTTCTGGTATAATAAAACGAAGAAGAATAAGAAATCGGCATTTACTAGGCGGAAGAAATCTGGGCGTGGAATCCTGGCAGATATGTCTAAGTTTTGGATATAAAATCAATAACACACACTCCGCAACCAGATTTCTCAGAGAGAATAAGCCGCACGTTGGGGAATTCTAATCCAACGAGAGGCAGGGCTCAGCACGGAGACTGCTGGGAGTGCTAACCCGTATGTTGGTAAATGCTAAGCCAACGAGGGGATTGCAACGTGTTGAAGTGTCGGCAAACTTTCAGCACCTAGATTTATCCGAGACGCTAACAAGCACGTTGTGGTATGCTATGTTACGAGTGGGCATACAACGAACTGAAGTGTCAGCACACATTCAGGACCTAGACGTAGCAAGTAACACATAATCAAAACCACTGAGAGATGGTATGACCATCAACGAGATACAGTTACCCCAAATAAAAATGTAACTATTCAGCTGGGACGTGCCAATTCAAACTGACAGGGAAATAAAAGACTACATACCTGATAATATCATAAAAGTTAACAGAATCAGGAAGTGTATGCATATTGACATGGAACTACCATCTGAGGTAAACAACTCCATAAAAAGTATTGAGGAATTGTCCAAATACAAAGGACTGGAGATCGTAATTAACAGGAAGGAAGATTCAGACTGAACCAATAGTAATCGGACCAATGGGTCTTAGGAGAAAACGAATGAACAGTTTTACTAGCAGTGCCCGAGGTAACAAGTTGCCCAGAAGATGGCCCTATTAGGAACATTTTATGTAATAAGAAAAGTGCTATCAATTAAATGACAGTTCTTCTGTAGGGCCTAATGAACATAGTTTGGACCCGTCTGTACAGGATACAAAGCAGAAAATATATAATATGCTACTACTACTAATAATAATAATAATTATAATAATAACATTAATAATATATTCATCTCTTTATATATTTTCGAAATATGCTTTCTGTTTGAGCTTGTATAACTTGGTTGGAAACATACATAATGTCCGATCTCGGGATGTAACCGTAAGTTTTATGTTAGGGTTTTCTTCTCTCGCACTTCTCGCTTGTGAAACATTCTTCCGCCTTCTTGCTTTACAGTCACCTTTGATCTTCAAAAATTTATATTCAGTGTCAATCGTTATTTTCTGTCTATT